AGCAAGTTCAGACTCGGAAGAACACTCACCTTGCTCTATGCTCTCTACGCCGCTTGAGGACTCCATCGGATCTTCCTCTACTTCGCATGTCTCGCTTTCCGATGCTAGATGGTCTGCAGCATCGGCGCCCGATTTGTACGGTGTAATCCTCACTTTCGTGAATCCGTAGTTTATCTCCCCGCCACTTTTCGCCAGCGGTTCGATGGATTCTTTTGTTAGTAATAGCAGAATCTGCATCGTGGCCCTTTTGGTCTCCACGCCAGATTCTGCTACGCTATCGTCAAACGCTTTGACGAACTTCCACCCCTCCGTGGGCAGACTCGGGTTGCAGGCTCTAATGAGCTGCATTATCTGATCCGGCTGTGATGGTGTAGCTGGGATCCATACCCTTGCCCTTGGTCTGGATGGTATATCTTTTTTGTCCACTGCTATTAGTTTTGCGCCCGGGTACACCTCCCCTACCTTGGCTATAGCAGCTTTGTATAGTGCGATCGATCTCTCGTCATCGCATGCAATCATTTTAATCTGGCCCTGGTACCAGCCGGCATCTGTGCATGACGGTGGCGGACCTGGATTGCTAAGTAGCACTTCCAGCGCCACATTTTTCAGCGCAGCCTGCACCCATTTCCATTGGGCTCTGGGGATTCTTCCTTCGGGGTCCCCCTCATCCAGAACGCCAATGACAATTCGGTCCCGGGCCACTTCTGCAAATGATTTTGCGGGCGTCACGCCCTTTGTTTTCGGTCGTTTGGCTGACGGCTTAGACTCTTCAGCTGACCTCTGTCGCTTTGCTGCCTTTACTGGAGGATGCTAAGAGCTCCTTGGTCAGCTCCTCCTTGGTTGGCGGCTGCAACTCCACTAACCTCAATAGGTATGCGGCGCGTCGTCTCTCCGCATACCTTGCCTTTGCCTGGTCCTGAATATTGAAAGCGGGCCACTCTCTGGCAGATGCACTTCCAGCAGCAGCCCCTTTGGCATCTTCCCCCTCCCCCGCTTCTCAGTCGTGTTTTGACTACAGGGTTTGGGCCTGGCTGCCTCCGGCGCTGCTACTTTCTTGCCCCTTCCTTGTGCCTGCCTTATCTGCGGGACCAAGCTTCGCTCCTTTCCTCTTGCCG